TGCCAGGGATGGTCATGAAGCAGATCACCCTGAGAGCCATCACACAGCACGTGCAGGACATCAAGGGGGTCGTGCCCTGCCAGCCTGGGTTTGTCAGACGCAAATCCTGCTTGACCAACCTGATCTCCTTCTATGACAAATTGACTCATGTAGTAAATGTGGGAAAGGCTATGGATGTTGTCTACTTGGAGCTTAGTAAAGCATTTGACACCATTGCCCACATCATTCCTCTGGAGATACTGGCTTTCCATGGTGTGGAGGAGTGGACTGGGTGTGGATGCCAGGGCTCAAAGAGTGGTGGTGAATGGAGCTTAATCCAGCTATCAGTCACTGGTGGTGTTCTCTGTACTGGGGCCAGTCTTGCCTAATGTCTTTACTGATAATTTGGAGGAGGGGATCAAGTACACCCTGTCACTTTGCAGATGATGCAATTTGGGTGGGAGTGTTGATTTTCTGGGAGGTAGGAAGGCTCTTCAGAGGGGTTGGACAGGCTGGATCCATGGGCTGAGGCCAGTGGTATGAGGTTCAGTAAGGCCAGATGCTGTGGCTTGCCTTTGGGTAAGAACAACCCTATGCAACAATGCTACAGGCTGGGGAATGAAAAACTTCATGGTGGGAAAGAAGGAGTCATTTAGTCTAGATCTTCAGAGGTCCCTTCCAACCCTGATATTCTATGATGCTGTGATTCTGTGCTGGCCTACAGCAACTAATCACGAGCCAGCTGTGTGCCCAGGTGCCCAAGAGGTCCAGTGGCATCCTGGCTCGTATTAGCAATAGTGTGGCCAGCAGGGCCAGGGCAGTGATTTTCCTGCTGTACAGATAAGGCCACATCTCAAATCCTGTGTTCACTTTTGCGCCCCTCACTACAAGAAAGACATTGAATTGCTGTAGTATGTCCAAGAAGGACAATGGAGCTGGTCATGGGTCTGGAGCACAAGTCCTGTGGGAAGAAGCTGAGGAAGGTGGGTCTTTCAGCCTGGAGAAAATGAAGCTCAGTGGAGCCCTTATCACTCTCTACATTGCCTGAAAGGAGGGCGTAGCTAGGTAGGGGTCAACCTCTTATCCCAAGCACCAAGCGACAGCACAAGAGGAAGTGGCCTCAGGATGTGTCAGAGAAAGATCGGAGAAAACAATTGCTTCATGGAAAGGGTTGTCAAGCATTGGATCGATTATCAAGCATAAAAGTGGTTGTGTCACCATTCATGGAAGTATTTAGAATATGTGTAGGTAGGGTGGCTAGGGACATGATTTCGTGATGGAGCTGGCAGTGTTCTGTTCATGGCTGGACTTTATGATCTAAAATGTCTTTCCCAGCCTAAATATTGCTATGATTCTATGAATTGGTGGAAGATGAAAAATATGCCATATTCTAATGCTTAGTCTCTGAATGCCCATATCTGTAAGATACTGGTGTAAATTGGCTTTTGTTCTGACCTAATGCCGCAGTTTCTTTCTAATGGATTATTGCCAGAGTTAATCAGGTGATAATCCATTAGAAAGAAACTAGAAAGAAAATCATATCAGGTGATGCAGCTTTCCCATATGTCCAGCCCAGTATCATTGAAGTTAATTAGCTACTGAGTCATAGCAGGGAGTGAGTTTTGGAGTGGAGATGGGTAGGTAGTAGTACTTTGGCTACCCTAAAAAAATTGAGATCTTTGCACAGTGGTGGCAGGTGTGCCATAAAGTGAGCTGAATATCCTTCACTTCTGTTAGAGCATGTAGAGGTCAAGGCAGATACCAGAAGGTATCTAAAATGTATGTTTAGGCAATTGAATTCCTCAGTATATATCATGTTATAATTGCGTTTTCTTCTCAGCATTGCAGAATATAATCCTACTGAACATTCCAAGTACAGAGTTTTCATTGTACAGACTGAAATAAAACTATATTTTCAGGATTAGTTTCTACAGACTGTGATAGTGCATATTCAGTATGTATGTGGCTGGAGAGAGAGACAGTACATGCAGTCTCTGCCATAAATCTGTGCTGAGTAATTTTCTGTCACTGCTGCTTAGTCCACAGCATGACGCTCGCATTTGTGTGGTTTGCCGAAATGATTTCCCATTCTTTTCTTCAACATCAGTGGAAAATTTAGTATTGCTTTGAAATTCATGGAAGCTAGATCTACAAATACTTTGAAGTTCATTAATTCCACTGGTTTCTGTAAGGTCAGTGTTGAAAATCAGATGCCAAATCCATTTTACAAAATCGGAAAAGAATATCCATTCTGCAACATTGTAATGTATCCTGGAGTTAAATAGCAAGAAAGTGTTTTGCCTGCACTGTGAGCTTGTATTTGGCATTAGATTTTGGGGATAGTTGTCTTGGGGAAAGGGATGATGGAGGACAACTGGAAGGGGAAAAATCTTGAACAGATAGATCAAGGTTTCTCAGGAGACATCTGGCAATGGCCAAAAGCAATTCTTTATGGCTCTTTGCTATAGCCACTCACACTGCCTCTGTGCTCATGCACACCCAGAGATGTTTGACACAGACGTGAGAATAGAACAAGGCCCAATGTTGAGCCATATGTGTGTACTGTTCTGTATTGCATGAACGACAGTATAGGCATTACTGTCTAGATATTTTTAAGACTTATGTGCAAACTCAGACTAATATAAAGTTTTGTTGTGATTAAATATAACTGCTAATCATGGCTAATCTCTAAAGATGGCAATTCAGGAAGTACTTTGCCACTCAGTGCTGTTTATGCAGCAGTCACTTAGAAAGCTTTATTCCAGCTGAGTTGGCTGATTGAATTACACAGAGGCCATTCAGAAAGAGTTACCTAGGCAACCCTTCAATTGGTCCTTTTGTGCTCAAATTTTATATCAGTCATCATGATTCAAAGCTGAGCCTGTGTCTCAGGTTGATTTTCACACCCCAAATGCATCAACCTGAATGGAAAGTGAATGGATTTGGGTTTAGGAAGTAGCCTCACAAACGTCTCCTCCAGCACAGCTCCTCTGAAGTCAGGCTTCAGTAGATTTCCAGCAATGAAGCATAGTATGTCCATTTCAGTGAGGAGCTGAAAGCTAAAGGCAAAAGCTAGCCTCTTAAGCAGTTCAGGAGTCTCTGAAGTACTGTGTTGAGTGCTACAAATTGTGGTCATACATTTTTAAAATGTTTTTAATGATTATAGCCATTATGACCTGTGTACTTTACTGTTGTCATACAAGCGGGCAACTTGGGAGTTTCACAAAGTATAGGGCTTAGCAAAATATTGTCCTCTGTTAACATTAACACGCAACTCAAAAGTAGCTGCAACTCATTAGTGTGTCAAGAGGTAAATAGGAGTTTGCTTCCAGTCCATTAATGTCAGGTGAAAAAGCCCAAGCTAAGAGCTTCATAGTGAAAAAGCCCAAGCTAAGAGCTGAGCTTGCTTCTGTAAGTACTGATCAGTTCAGGTAGTTCAAGAATTTGGAAGTTCACAATAGTGGAATAATCAAGATCAGTTCTTCAAAACTGGCAGTAAGTAGAATGTTATTAACAATATCAACATATGGTGACATTTCATCAATAACTCTTTTGCTTAGAAAAGAACAACTGGTGTTAAAATTTAAATGATTGCTTTATATTGCATTGTCATAAGGTTTATGTAAGCAATCTTAATACAGGGCAATAACTGAAAAGAAACTGATTATAAATCTATGGGGGGAATAACATGCATATTGTGGACATATCTCAATTATTATCTTTTTTTCAAAAATAAAACCCAAGAACACTACCTGAAGAAGTCATCATATACCACTCATGTTGTCAAACAATTATCACTGGGTGCTCTTTTTCAGACTTTTTTAGCTTTCATTGAGCTCCGTAGAAATCTTTCCAAGGTTTAACAGCATTTGCATTATACGCATCTGTGTAAAAGTACTATTCAGGCTGTTTTTTCAGTTGCCTAATTCTGCAATTTATGTGCAGTTCTGGAGACATCACCTACCTATGTTAACAATTTAAAAGTTATTTTAATACCTGCGTGCAAAAGGCTGAGTCATGCCCACTATACTTGCTCCATTTTGTTAGCAGAAGCAGTCTAAGGAAAGAGAAATGTGTGGAAGCCAAATGTTTGCTGTCATAGGAGAGGGTTCCTATACACCTACTCTATAACAGGGATGACAGGTGGGCAGCTAACACATAAATGGAAACTAGGGACCAGTGTGAAAATCAGTGACACAAATTGGAGAGGAGTGTCTTCAGTTTTAGCACCAAGTTGTTAGGAACACTGCTGTGTTGTGACTGGTCTGAACACATGAGTCTTTGGGTAGAGACAAGGAGAAGCCCTTTCCTCATACAGACAACCTGACAACAGTGTTGGGGTTTAGAGAAGCTGGGCCATCACTGTCCTTGTTGGCTTCACAGTTTGAATGGGCAGAGCCCTGAGCAGCCCAGCCTGACCCCAGCAGCTTAGCACTAGAGCTCCACAGGTGCCTGACCTGCCCTGTCTCCCTGTGGAGAACACCACACATACCAATATACGTATGCATGTATATTTAATAGTAAGGTTTCAAGTTACTCTCAAAAGCTTAAGAAGTTAGATACACGCACACATCTACATGCACACAATAAGGTGACCGTGTGTGTGTGAGTGTGCATGTATGCACACAGGCACGTATGTGCACATGTGCTCTCTCTCATCTGTGTGGCCAGGCTTGATGCAGCCCAGACAAGTTTTAACCCATGACTAGACTAGCCCACATCCCAAGGGAGAGCCATGGGAACACCTGTCAGAGACACCCTGTGCATCCCAAGGGATCACCCACATTGTCAACCAATGGACGTGCTCAGGCAGCCTGTACCATAGGGATCCCTCGCAGTCTGGCCAGAGTCTCTTTTGGTGTGGCCTGGATAATGTTGTTAGGTAGGTCTGGTGTTAATGCAATGTTTTGAGATGCTGTAGTTCTCCCTGAAACACAATGCTGTCCTTGAACTCCTTTTGAAAGAATCCCTAGCTTCATTCATCCACTTTGATAATCTGCTCACTGGAGCTTTTCTTACAGAATGAAGAGGATGAGGAGGAACAGCCTCTCAGCCTGGCCTGGCCTGAAACCCCACGCAAGCAGGTCACCTATCTTCTGGTGTTACCCATTGTTTTTCCACTGTGGGCTACCCTGCCAGACGTCAGAAAACCTGTAAGTAACTGTTGTTGTAAGTCAGTGTGTACTGCACAAAAGGGTGGCTGTCTAGTTAAATGCCAAAAAAGAACTAGAGCTATTAGGTTTTTCTAATTGTTTCTTCTTTGAAGAAGAGGTCACAATGTTAGTATTCAAATCTTCAAATGGAAAATGAGTGTTTATGAGCAGCTAGTTGTTAATAGCTCTATAAAGATTATAATTTGTATTCACTTATATTTTATGATATAAAGTGAATGGTCTGAAAAATTCTTTGGGGCCTTCACATTTGTATTTTTGAATCTCTGCAGAACACATGAGTGCTGAGTATCTGTCTATCTGCAGTGCCCAAAAGGATATGACTGGAAGGCTTTTACACTGTCTAAATCTTTTCTGTGGTTCTAACATAATTAATGTTCTATTAGACCTTTTTCTTCCATCCATAATCTTGTAATTTTCATACTAGGATGAGATTTGTAAGTCCTTTCATGTATAAAATACTTGCTAGTTTGGTCCTAAACACGGCTTGAAGTAATGTAAGACTGACAGGTTACCAAGGCTTACCACTTTTATACTTACATATACAAATAGACCTAACTGGGAAAGCTCATGGAAAGTAAAAGAGAGAGCATCAAGACCTGAAAAATAAAATAGTGGTGTTTTAATCTCTTTTCCTTTCTGGATCAAAAACAGGCTTAAAACTGGTGCAAGAGAGGCATGCACAGCATGTAAGTTTATAGATCAACACCCTGAATTCTTCTTTTCTCCTCACACACAGTGAAAAACCTTCCTCCCATCCCACACACTGAAAAACTGCAATTCAGTGCAAGAAAGAAGCTAAAATAAGATCTCTGACTTTTTTTAGATAAAAGGTTCCAAAGGCTATAAAGTGACATTTACCCTTCTTTCCCTTCTCATGCTTTTTCCAATTTCTAAGCTTTCTTTTTCTTAAAGATTCCAGAAAACTCTGGAAATCACTTTTGTTACATAACACACAGAACATATTGCATGAATTTAAAAATTATTTATTTCTGAATGTATGCCCTCCTTTCATCATTCAAAACCATCCTTGTAATTTTTTTCATAATTTGATATAAAATTAGTGAGGTATATTTATGGGCATTATTTTGAATTTTGAAAATCTGGAGCTAATAAAAGTAGACCTGTAGCTTTATTCAATATTCTGTACTGTACAAATGAGAACATTTTTTCAAAAATAGCTTTGGGAAGTGAATATCTTGACAAGTTGCCTGCAAGTTTATGATGCATGTAATTATTAACACTAGTACCATTCACAACAGAACTCCATGCTGACATCCAGCAGCTGGAACACCTTGCCATACCACAAAAGATAAACATGGATGCATGTTCCAGATAGGCAAGTTTTAAAAACAAAGTTTTAAAGCTCCATTCACTGAAAGGTGTAGTTTGTACAGAAAAAAAAAATGTAGTTTGTAATTGCATGTGGATTAACAGAAGAGGTGATGGGCTGTATCAGTATGACAAGCTGCTTACTTTGAACATTGTTGTCAAAGAATTAACCAGATAGTTGCACAAACTATCTAACATTTTAAGTATGCTTTATTAATGTATCTTCAAAACATTCTCACTTATTTCTGTGTGCCATCCCCACTAATCCCTTCCTAACAAAACTGATGCCTGTTATTACAGCTCAGCATGTGCATCAGAAAACAATTTTCAATTAAATCTGTGAGATAAAAGTTAAAGAAAACCTAAAATCATACTCAAATAGACTTTTTAGACAGGTCTGCCATCAGGGACTCGATTTGCAAGTGTGATAATTTTAATCAGAAACCCAAATTCTGCATCAGGATGCTCAGATTAGCATATGCATATATAAAGTGAATGCCTGTGTATACAGATTTGAAAGACCATATGGAGCCTTTGGCATCCTCTGTGGGTGTCCACTTTTCAATAAGTTCTTCCTTCTATCTAGAGTCTTTTTTCTAGTGTATATTTTGTCTCCACACAAAGGAGATGGCTTCCCTGCATTTATTTGTACTATTCTGAGGTACATTTAGTTCCATGAAACCCAGAAGCTCTAGAAAAATTATTTTGTAGACAAAGTCTCTGGTTCTAAAGTTAGCGAAATCCTGCTCTCTTATTATGCTGTCGTGCACACATATGCAGATTTTCGTATACTTAAAGTAGATTATGCATTGGTTCAGCTAACTCTCAGCTGATTGACTAGCTGAGATGTTTTAATGTGTTTAATTCCTTAATAACACCTGCTCACGTTAAGCCAGTATATATTATAATCCTTACCATAACATCAATAATGTTGTTGGCATATCCCAGAGGTCGGTGTGCCCTTAGGGAATATTTTTCCTGAGTTCTTGCTCAGGTGTTTTGACCACTAATGGCTATTTTTCCTGTACTAATGGCTTGTTTCCCCAGTGGCTCTGTAAAGGTCACATATGTAACTGCCCATACCCTGGAGGAACAGATATTGAAAGACTGAAAGAAAAATTATGTGACCAAGGTGCCCCAGTAGGTCAGGAGCAGATACTGAACACCACCTCTTTTATTATAACCTTAAGTTATAAATAACCTTAAGTAAGGTTATTTATTATAACCTTACTCCACTGTCCATCCCTTTGGATTACGGGCCAGAAAAATGGCTCTTGGGGCTCCAGTCCTGCCACCACTGGACCCATATGGGGGAGTTCCTTCTATCTCTGCAAATTCCCATTATAAACGAAGAGCTACAACTTGCATGAACTCTTGTTGCCATACAGAGATGCACTGTTACCAAGGGGACAAGGACAACATGTTCCTGTACAGATCCAGTTAGAAGAGCAGATTCTGAATAATCAGAGTTAAGCACTGTTAAGTGTGAAAGAAAGATCAAACTTTGCAATGCAGATACATTTATGAACAAGACAAACATGAATCATTCAGGTTAAAGATGTTAGTAATAATGCTGGCTAAAATTAAAAGAGTTACCTTCCACATTATTCAGCACACACTGCCTTCCAGGATCGAGCTCTTAGAAGAAAAGCCTTCATATCTAGATTATTTTTGCTACTTATAGCCCTGTTTTTCAGACACTGGCACTAAATAAATATATAGAAATGTATCAAGAAAAATGTTCTTAAGGTTTCTGATAGACAGGAACAGTACAAATCCATCTAATCTACAGTGGAACTACAAAATCCTTCTGCTTTTATTAAAGGAAAATAGCATATAAACTGAATCAGCCATGGCTTCTCTCATTTATCTGTTTCTTCGACCACAAAAGAGCCAATTGCTAACAATCCCTGCACTCTGTCTTTACCAGACAACCACCACAACAACTACTGAAAAAGATGGAGAGAAGTATTGCTGTCTGCTGTCTCTGACTAATTTTTCTAGGAAAATGCTTAGAATTGGCAGCTCTCATAATCTATATATATAAAATATACATAAATCTATATACATAAATCTATATACATAAAATACATAAAAGAATGCTGAAACTAGTTACAAAACAAGCATGATATTTATTGTTACAGTCTGGAATAAAATCCAGCATACAGAAAAGAATCAGCATTCTGGTTATAGCTTTTCAAATTTTCATCTATATGCATATTATAAAGCAGTATCTGTGGATTCCATTTTTTATTTCATCTCCTGTAAAATGTACAAGCTTTTAATTTTGCCCTTTCTGAATTTAAATGCTCCCCATTTTAAAATAGGTAATTTAAGTGTTAAGCCTATTAAAGTATCTTAGACTGCTGCTTATCAGTTAATTTTAGTGGGAGAGGATTAGCTAAGACAGGCGAGGAGTACACATGCTGCGAAGTTACTGACTTGTAGTTCTTAGCCATCCAAATTCTCTGGGTGTCTGACTCAGGCAGTGTCTCCTTATTTTGCCAGAACCATTTGACGTACACAATCACACCATCAGAGTGCTATTACTGACCAGCATGTATTAGTTTCGCTTAAGCCAGGGTATGCTTAAATCTTGAGTATTGTGCAGTGATCATTCAAATTGCAGTGCTGCAAGGTGCTCTGTGCAGCCTTTGTGACCAGTTCCAACAAGTTTATTGCTTCATTGTCTCATTAACCATATGTCTTGCCAAAAGATCATAGCTTTTATGGGGAAGATGGAAAATGTTGGAAGTTGGAAAAGTTGACTACAAGGAATGGTGAAAAAAAGTACTAGCTGCTTAGTTTTAAAAGAGAAATGGCTGTTTAGATTAATTTATTTCTACCAGTCTTAATTCTGCTCCCACTGGTGTCAGATCATTATAACAGCCATTGATATGTTTCTTTCAAATTGTGTTCCTTTTCGCATTAAGGTCTTCTGTATCCCAGTGCATATAAAATTTTGATTTTAAACTTAAAATTCCATCTGAGTAGGTTCCATCATAAGCTCGTTATCATATTTCCTGGTTTGACAGAAATTTAGAGCTCTCTTTTGAAAAAGTAACTCTGTAATGAGTTAAGAAGCAATTAAGAAATAGATCAACCAAAGTACTCTGAGTACTTCTAAAACAATACTTGTGACAGTAATGGAATTTATATGAAAAGGATGTTTCCAGGTGCTGTGGTGATTATTTAAGGGTAATCTATTTAAAACACCTACTGGACCACTTTTACTCCAACAGGTGTTCAGCTATTTATATTATGAGGGAGTTTAGAATCACAGATTCATAAAATGGTTTGGGTTGGATGGGAACCTGAGAGATCATCTAGTTCCAACTCCCATGACATGAGCAGGGACATATTTCACTAGGCCAGGTTTCTCAAAGCCTGGTCCAACCTGGCCTTGAACACTGCCAGGGATGGGGCATTCGCAACTTCTCTGGGCAGCCTGTTCCAGTGTCTCACCACACTCATACTAAATGCTTCTTCCTAATGTCCAATCTAAACCTTCTTTTTTTCTACTTTTCTAGTCCTCTAGTCCTGTAATTTGAACAGGACTAGAGGACTAGAAAAGGCTCTTTTGAAAAGTCTCTCTCTTTCTCAGAGGCTTTCTTTAGGTACTGGAAGACCGCAATTAGATCACCCCAAAACCTTCTCTTCTCCAGGCTGTATAGTCCAAATTCTCTTAACCTTTCCTCACAGAAGAGGTGTTCTATCCCTCTGGTAGTGTTGTTAAATCTATACCATTTTTAATGTGTATTTCTGTGTATATTCAGTTGTGAAATTGTATAGGTTGTGTTAGTCAACATGCTCAGTTTTCAGGAGGACATTTAGCATTATGCAAAGTACACACAGGGAATGAGTTAGTTCTCTGTAGCACAGCCAGCAGCTGCATCTGCTGCTGGAACAGATATGGACCTTCTATTTGCCCCATGCTGTAGATGAGTGTGCACAATTGTCATTGCTGACTTTACCCTTTTTACATCTGTTAACATCCCGAGCTCATTCTAGTTCCATCAGCAGAAAGTCTACACAGTCTCACTGAGCTACAGACCAGCCTCATTGTTTCCAGGTTCAGCTGGCAAAACACAGTGACATTCCTGCTTGACCAGCTCTAATGGCCAGCCCAATACACTGATCATGTTTTTGGTCTACAGCCACCCTCTGATTCTGTGCTAATCAGTTCCAAAATGTGAAACTGTTTCATACAAATGTCTGTTGAGTTTGTTATATAAGGAAAGCTGACTGTGCAGCTCTGTAAACCCCCTAAAAAAAGAAATGTTTATTATGGCTTGAAGAATCTGAATCAGAACAAATGGTATTTTGGACACACTGAGGGAAAGCCCTGCAATCCCATATACTTCCACAACACCTAGGAATGATCCACAGTCTTAGTGAGCCTGCTGGTGCAGCAGGGGCGTGACCTGCATTGAAAGGGGGCACAAAAATTCTGGAGTGGAAGTGGATTTAGTGAGGAATAATGGGAAGAAGTACTGCAGGACTGAGCAGCAGCTGCAAGAGGCATTCAGAGTGGTATAACTTACTTCCATAGGCAGTCTTACTGGTTATTCATTTAAATTTGTAGGACTCTGCTAGTCGCATGTCAGAAATCATCTAGGGTAAGATCTGCATTCAGAAGGTCAGTGACCATAAAGAAAGATTGTTAGAATTCATTCACAGGACAAATTTGATTTTAAGTACTAATTTGATTAGATAGTGTTTGCCTGGTGCAGTATTGCAATTTTGTTCCCTTCCTTTAGTAGTTAGCTTGACTTCTTTTTGTTACATAGATTCAGTTAGTCAATAGGTAATATGGAAAATGCATAAGATTGGAAAAAACAGAAACCAAAATAAATCATTAATCTGAATATAACCCATTCATTGGCTGCAAGAACACAAAAATTCTGTGTTCTTCACAAAAATTCTGTCTGTTCAAAATCTGACACAAGTAAGGGAAACAGTGAAAATGAAAATTAAGTTCCTTCAGTCTTAAAGAGAGTTTTTAATTCATTGAAGGGCCTGGCAGTATGTTTTGCATGCTTTTATAACATTACAACATTAAATTTCTCTACAAAATGAAGCATGGAAAATATGTGCTTAACATATCTTCTATTGAGAAAGTATGTACTTTTCACAAGCAGAGTAAATGCTGTAATAAATTTTAGGTGTATGTGTTTTTACCTCTGCCATATGGCAGTCTTTTTTATACTGACTGAAATTTGTTGCAAAAAGTTACTAATGTAGGAAGGAAAGATATGGGCACCTTTTGAAGCAATTTGAAAACATTCATTCTGAAGAAACATGAAACTATTAACAAATTTAGAAGTCGAACCACTATTGAGCTAAACACATGCATATGCAAACTGCATCATAACAAATAATGATAAAAACGACAACCCAGAACTTGCCAGTCATCACACAAGTTTTTAGGAAATCTTATTTTGTGACTGAAGCAATTGGAAGGATGAGGTACATATATACCAATGTCAGGGCATCTGTTTCTTACTTTTCTTGACAGGTATTTTGATCATCTGATGATGATCAGAACAGTTGCTTAGAACAGGCCATCAGAAAAAATGAGAAGCCACTCTCATATTGAGAAGGAATTAAGAGTATGGCATATCACCCTTCAATATAAGTTTTCACTGCTCCTCCTTCTTTCTGTTTCAGACTTCAAGAAAATTTTTTCCTATCACGTTTTTTGGTTCTATCAGCTGGATTGCCTTCTTTTCTTACTTGATGGTCTGGTGGGCACACCAGGTAAGGAGGTGATACTCTTACAAAAATAAAAGCCCTGCATTATGTTTTGCACTGTAAAAGATCATTTCTAATCAGAGTCCATCTATCTCATGCTGGGTGCTGCTTTATTTCAGGAGCTGTAGCCATGGGTAAAGTAAATCAGAACTCACTAAATAATAAGTAGCTCAGAGAGCTGTGGTTGGCCTGACCACAGGACTTGATCATTCTTGTAACATCAGAACTATCAGCAACTGACTGTCAATACCTTATGCTTCTGTTTGAAAGCCTTACCTTTCTCCTGATACATGGGAAAATCCATGAAAACTAGAATTTCGGTGATCTTGCCTGGTATTCTCCAAGCTAGTGGGAAAGTCCAGGACAGTTGAAAACATTTCTTCACTGCAGGAAACTTTTTTCTGGTTTTATTTAAACTCTTCTAGGTTGGAGAGACCATTGGTATTACTGAAGAAATCATGGGACTGACTATTCTAGCTGCTGGCACATCCATACCTGACCTTATTACCAGTGTTATTGTAGCACGCAAAGGTCTGGGGGACATGGCCGTATCCAGTTCTGTTGGAAGCAACATATTTGACATCACAGTGGGGTAAGCTCTACACCAAGAAAATTGTGTCTATTTTAAACAACTCTTTTGTTCTTAGCATATTGCTGTGGTATTGCCCACAAGCAGCAATCTTTAAAAACCAGTGTAATGCAAATACGAAGCGAATGTTACTGTGGCAAGTGCTCTGAAGTTTATAGATGTCTGCATGAAAAAATGTTATAAATTTGTTGCCTAATCCTTGCTTTGATATGTCACAGAGAGGCTTAGGCAAGTGAATTGCACTTTAAAATTGTGCAAGGGCATCGTTCCGAAAAGGAATTTCAAAGCTTTTCATACTTTTGTGTGGTTGCTGTTTGCTTTCTGCTACCACTCATTGGGCTTATACTAGAGCTTTCTTTATAAATGATGATCAGGAATAATTCATTGCCTCTGCAGTAATCAACATGTTTTCTGTAATAACAACAGAAAGTTGTTGTCTTGTGTAACTGATTTAGGCTGCTGTTGCCATGTGATTAATTTTTTTTCTATACCTGACAAGTCCAAAATTACAAACCAACTCTCTCTTAACAAAAAGGACCCTTTTTATAGCTCTGACAATGTGAAGGTACATGAGATTGTGCAGAAGTTTTATATTTACACTTCACTGCTTCATGGCAGCTCTAGGGTAATGATTTGTGGCATAATGTTGTAATTCAAATTCTTTTTTGATCTTTTGAGACCAAGGTAGATCAGATTCAGAAACAGTGTAATCCATGCCTCAGTGTTTCAAAAGTGTGCAGGAAATACACAGATAAATTCTGTCTTTGTTCCCACATTACCATCTTCAACACAGGATGGAGGTACTGAGAATCATGTCCATACTTTCAATTTCTCCATCTTTGGTTGCTTCTTGCTATCACACACAAACAGAAGAACAGGTGTAGTCATAGTTAGAGTGCCAGACAGCCTGGTTGTAGAAGAGATCCTGGTTTTCACAGCTGGAAATATACCAGCATCTGCAAAAAGGTACAAAAAAGGATCCTGAAGTTTGAATGTATAGTAAATATATTTTTTACTGTATCTGTTAGCTAATGGCAGTACTTTACACATAGTAGGAAAACTTAGCCAATTTTCTATTAATGCAGAAGCATTCAGTCTTTGAAATATCTATATGCAGCAAACCTGTAAAATGCATGAAAACCATGTCCTCCAACTTGGAGTACAGAGCATGCATTACAAAATTATTTCTCTTTTGCAGTGCTTTCTTACTTTTTAAAAAATGTTTAATCTTCCTGCCAAAGGAAATGGTTTTGTCCTGCACCAGTCTGCTACATTTACAACAGAAATGGCACAGCTGAGCTGTAGACTGGTGTAGTTAGTACTGCAGCTGTAATAAATTATTCTCTCCTGAGCTGCTTATTCAAAGTTTTAATGTTGTGAGCTTCTGACAACTCACTTCATGCTTTCTAAGCCTGCTAAGCTCCAGTCAGTTCTTAAATATTTATTTCAGCTTGACATCTTGCAGAGGGATATTGTCTCCTTCTGTGGCGTGAGAGATGAGAAATGCAATGACAGCAAACACAGAAATAGAAGTTAAGCTGAAGTTCAATTGAAGTTCACAGTTTAACAGAGGTTTATACAGTAAATGTGGACAAAGATATTTAAGGGCGAAATTTCGCCGGCAGTGCCTTGCAGAGTGCTGGTTCTTCATGGCAAGGTCATGTTTCTTTCCAAGCCACCCTCCTGTCAGGCAGGCTCTTGGAAAGAGTGTGCAAATAGCTTCAGCAGATAGTGTGAAATCTAGAAACAAATGAAAGGGGGTTTCCTCTTCACAGACAGGATGCCAGGTGATTTGCCAGCCAAGGGAAATATAATTCACTACTATAATTGGTGGAAGAGTGGGGGGGGCAAAAAATCCTGTGTTTTCTCTCCAAGAACCATGAGAAAGCTTACAATTTATATTTATGCAATTATTAGAAGAGTTGAACCTCTTCCTGCCTCACTTCATGCAGGAGGCCTTTGGTGGTGTTTTGATTTGTCACCAGAAACCTTCTAGTGCTCCCTTCTGGACTTCTACAATGTTTTAAATTAATTTTTCTGTTTCTTAACAGCCTTCCTCTTCCATGGCTCCTGTATGCTGTGGTTAACAGCTTTGCCCCGGTGACAGTCAGCAGCAATGGTCTGTTCTGTGCGATTGTCCTCCTCTTCATCATGCTGCTTTTCGTCATCCTCTCCATTGCTTCCTGCAAGTGGAAGATGAATAAAATCCTGGGTTTCTTCATGTTTGGGCTTTATTTTGTGTTCCTGATTGTCAGTGTCCTTCTGGAGGACAAAGTGATCCAGTGTCCTGTCTCCATCTAGCGGGAAGTGGAGAGTGGAAAGTTATTTTTTTCTCAACAGGAAAAAAAAAAAAAAAAAGAAAAAAAAAAAAAAGAAAAACCAAAACAGATCTATTTATTAAAGAAAAGATACATATGTCAAAACAAAACAGCAGAAAAAAAAACCACAGTGGAAAATTGCAGCAGGAATAACCCATGGATCTGTAAATTTTCTCTTCCTCTATTTCGAAAGAATGAAAGAAAGAAAAGTACATAAAGGGTCAGTCTCAGAGCTGAAGAATGGCTGCTGCTGGACATTGCAGTAAGGCCTGAAGGGCTGAGTCTGGGAGCACCAAGGGTTCCTCTGCTGCAGAACATCCTCGCTGCTCAGCACTGGACACGCACCGTGCCCACGGCAGCAGTGAAAGTTACTGCTTCTCCTCTGCCTACAGTACCTACCTGCAGACTTCTCCTTCTCTGTAGTAGCACACACAGACACACTGTGTGCTCAGTTCTTAAAGCTCTCCTCTTCCAAGGGGAATGCTAATATTAACTTTGTGGAGGCACCACCCCCCACACACCCTGGTACAGGATTTTTCCAATAACCTGCTGAAACTCCTCAGTGGAAAGCATACACCAAGCGATGAGTCACAAACAGGGAAGGGCTTGTATGTCTCTTCACGTAAGTGGATTTATGTGATGTGATTTCAGCTAAGCCAGGGAATTCATCAGTTTTGATCATCTGCATCACAGGTCCGTAAAGGCAATCAGCAGGATGTTAATGGTGGTTTCTTACATCTTGCAAAACTCTTCAGGTTCCAGAAACTCTGGCACTGAAGCAGTCATGATGCCTGACCATTTTGTAACTGGTGCAGATTTTCATTGCATTCTCATGCAAAGACCAGAATGGGGATAATCTTTCTTCTCTAATAGCAACGCAGCATGCAGTGACATCATACAGCTATGTGAACACACCATTTTTTCTAATGCAGCAATATCAACAGTACCAATGGCTTTCAGATGCTGTTATGAGTTTGCCTTTTCATGCCAGAATAAAAAGGCTAATTTGCTTACGCATAGTATTTCATAAAGAAAATAGAAGTAGTTATAAAGTGGCAGCCTAATTGCTAAGTGAATATATACTTTATAGGCTTTCACTATTACTTGGAGTGTAAGGACCTTCACAGCTACATATAGTTATTTGCTGGAAGAGATCTCCAGCTGTTGTATAAAGCTGGGGAAGTTCACATTTGCTGTTATAAATCTTGAAACTAGGTAGGAGAAACACAATTTAAATACAGTGGAGCTGCAGGAAACTTACATGAAAATTCTTCAGTATTGCTGGAAGTGTACATGTCTAAAGAAAGGAAGGAGTGAATATGCAACGACCTTTTTCTGAGATACTGAGAGAATGAGAAAGTCCAAACCTAGAGCAGAAAAAACCAAGAAGGGAGAAAGCAACTAACTTTCTGTAGTTTGGCTGATTTTTTTAAAAATGAGAGGACTGGAATGAATGTTAAAAAATTATTTCACATAATCATCATTTGTTTATTTAAGTCTTTTGTGCAATTAAGAGCTCGTGAATTTTCAGTGCATTTCTGTGACCTGTTTCATCATTGTTTTATATGTGTATTGTGCTCTCAATGGCAATGCCATTCTCACATCTGTGTAACAGAAGTCTCAGCACATTTTGTCTTGGCTGTTTTTCTCTGCTCCACACTGTTTGTTTCTCATTCATCCCCTTTGTCCTTTACTGTTTTCCTGTTGTATGTGTTTTTATGTAACAGTGTATGATTAGAAAATAAGGACTTGACAGAAAACAATGGTAGAGAAATCATTACAAAATTCATATTAGGAATATTAATATTATGTGATATCATGAAGAAAAAAGTGAGATGTTAATGAAATAAAGGAAGGATACTAGGAGTTGCAATGTCTGCTACTCATATATTGTCCTAAGTCCTAGCTACATGCAGAATCAGTATTTGATCTTAACCATACAACAAGCAACATACTGTTACTTCTTAGTGCTGTTTAGAGTGAGCTTCTCACATTGAGAGCAAAAACTTGTCTTTGTAGTCAAGATCCTTCACTGGTGCAGAATTGTTACCTGTCTTAACGATAGGGCTGCCCATCTTTAACATTTGTTCCTAGGGGTGTACGCCATGGAAAGGTGGGTGGATATACATACCTGTGGTGCCCTCTGCTGACAGAACAGCAGCCTAAAGCGATTTGTAACCCAAATTCTGACCTCAACCAAAACGCGTGTCCCAAAATACAGAGCTGACTCCGCAGTACAATCTATTCCAGAGGAGTCACCAAATGCTTTTGTTTCTGATGACAGTGCTCAAAACTGGTAATCCTTTCCCAAGTAAGCAGAATCATACATAGGAGTGATCCAAAGTAAGGGCTGTGTATGTGGGCACTTACAAAATACTGCAATGCCCAGATTTCACTGATCTGACATTTCAAATCGAGAAACCAGACCAGAGTTCAATCTCTATTTAGTACACTACTTTTTTTTTTCCTTTTTTTTTTTTTTTTAACTTCATACCATCATGGTGTAACAACTTCCATACTGGAAACAGAAAACTCTCACCTGACCTTCAGAGCTCTGAGAGCTCTCTGGTGCACTCAGAGCATCTGCAGCAGAGACTGCTGGCCCACTGAGGGCAGGTAGGGAGTAGAGAGTAACTGGCATCAACAGCTTATAGGAAGACCTTTATGTACACCATTAAGGACTGATATCCTGTAATGGCATTTCTATACTGTCTTAAAATGTGTCTCATTTCTTTCCCTGTTTGTTTGTCTGTTTGTCCCTATCACATCTTTATCTAAGAAGGTATTATAAACAACTTCTCCTTCTCCAGAATAAGACACGTCATGTCTCCCACTGCCTTGTATCTGTTGGGCAGATCATTTTTCAAATGGTTGAATAACTGTGCCAGTGGTACCTCAGATCCAGAGGTAATAGGACAGATTTCAATTGTGTGGTGCTTTCTGTGAACAATGTTTGTACTTGCCAAGGCACCTTTCTACTGCTGGGGTAAACTGTTTGTGGATACTTGAATGCTGATGTGCTCTTTGATTACAGGACAACAGCTCTGCTGGCTAGTAAAGAGGAGTGGGATGGAGGGAGAAGCTTAGTCCTTTATCCTGTACAGAAGGAATTCAATCTTAAACTAGAATGCTGAGAAAACAGTCAAAAGCTGCTCCAACCCAGTGACTGGATGTCAGTGAGTGTTCCAGACTCAATGCTGCCAGAAACACACACAGTTTTTGCACAGTTTTGCAAATTCCTGTTTTACAATTTCAGCAAATTTCCCAGCATAAAGTGTTTCTCATTGTTCATAATTATTTCAGTGTAGGATCACGAACTCTTCTCAACATTGCACACCTAGAAATCAAGCATACCTAAAAATCAAAGTTCTATTTTGTTCAGCCAAAGTTCTGTATAACTTCACTAGGGATCCGGTCCTTCACACTGCCCAAATTCTATAGTGAACTAACTGGTGTTGAAGCCTTTTCCCCCTGCCTGTATGCCCGTGCTCACTAACTCAATCACTACTGCTGTCTGCATAATCCTTATGAAGTATAAATGAATAATTAATAGAAAAATTGGCATTGATAAAGGTCCTGTTCTAGCTTAGCACTTTCAGGACACCAGCTTGGAAACATAGAAGTAAGAAAAGAATGCAACTTCAGATTAAAAACCGACCCTCTGTGGCACCATCATCTCTGAATAGAATCAGTATTGAACACAATTTTTGGAAGGGATTTCTGGTAGCATTTGAAGAGGATCATGGCTCAGATTGTAGCCAGTTTTAAAGGTCTTCTGCACTAACTTTATTGGAATTAAATATGAGAATGGGCCCCATTGGTACGAAATACCACTTGAGTCTTACAACTATTCTGTTTTCCCTCTGCATAAGCCACCCTGGTCACAACTTGGTAAAAGCTATAGAAGTGTGATTAAAAGTGTGGTGTGAAGATTCTCTCCTTAAGAACTACACGTAGACATGGAAAAATCTTTCAGCAAAGCTCTATGTATTTTAAATTAACTATTTTACTGAAAGCTAGTGCTTTCTTATAGTGCAGACAGGCTCTTGTGTCTGTATGCTTCTGCTTATGTATCCAGTTGATGTGGCTGACTGCATAAACTTCATGAAGCATAAAGCACAGTGGGTGACAAGCAACCTTATCTAGTGTCATTTGTTTGTAATGGCAATGAACCTACCATATAATTTCAACATACACTTCTCTGAAGTAGTTGACATGGTCACTGTCACTCATGGTACTGTTGTGTGTGGATATGAAGGTCCACAAAGTGGTAAGTTAAACATGTAGTTAATCCAAGTACAGTGAAAAAATAGATGCTTAGAAATATTATTAATGTTTGGGTGTTTTTTAAGGGATTATTTCTCTGGTTGTCTTTTACTTCATTACATATTTTGCAAAAAAGGGGATATTCAATGTTTTTTAATTATTATTCCTTCAGCAGTAATTCCTTAAAATAGCATCTTGTGGTCCATATAACTTATGTTCTGAGTCAAGTATGAGTCTGTATCAGATGGTTTTCTTTATTTATAACAAGGAAATAATCCCTTCTCTAAGAACTGGCCCAATAAAATACAGAAGAATTCTGCCATTAACCTGGACAAGATACTTTTATCTTAACTTCCTGTGTTTCATAAATGCTGTTATATAACAAACCTAATTGTCCTGGGAGCTATGTACAAAGAGATAAATTACATTCACTTGTATTCTTGGAAACAATTTTACCTCTTGTAAATAACAATGACACAAGTAACTGAGGCATGGTTTGAGCAGGTGATTCTTTTTTTTCTGCTATTCCTGGAAAGTTAAATTGAAGAAAAATACTTACAGAAAGTGAATTTGAGATTATCAAATGGGATAGTTTGCAACAGTGTGGAGAAGAATCCTGCTCCAATCCTCCAAAAGCCATGGGTTTCATGCCTGGTTGATGGCAACTGATCTTCTGGGTCTGTTGCCATCAGCTACAGGAATATTGGTATTGAGATGCCCATCATTTCCATTGGAACTGTTGAGAGTCACCTCCAAA